GACACTCATGAGGGGTAACATCTCCCACTCTCCTCCTCCATCTTTTTACCCATTTTTTTTTTTACAATTCTCTTCTTCTAGCCCTGGGGCATTTAGGCTCCACAGCACTGCATATATCCAATTATACCACGGCTCTGAGCACGGCAGTGACACATCGATTGACACAAGCGACATCCAGCCTTATCACAGTGACATGATGCAGTGCTGGGCAAGCATCATTAGCCTGATCAGCCAATAGCGGGACAGCTCGTTAGACCCCCAAGGGCTGGACGTGCAGCGCTGGCTCTAATACAGATATCATAAGACAAGGAAGAGGAGTGATAAAGTGATGGTGAGAGGATGAGAGATTATAAACCTTGGAGGGACAATGTTATGTTTGTGTGTGTATATCTGTTTCGGGCACTTCCACTGGGTTGATGGTGGGCAATTACATGTTTCCTCAAGCCACAGTTACACACAAACAGGGGTAGCTCCCTCAAAGCAGCAAACCTCCATCATCCACAACATGTTTCGCGTGTGACGATACTGCAGGCAGCTGTCAAATCTTTAAGCGGCTGTTGAAGTGTTTAAGCCACCTGATCATGTGATCTCTCAGTCATGTGGGAATTTTTTTTTTTTTTGAGCCAACACGATCGCCTCAGCCATTATAACAAACAGAGTGAGATCATTTCAAAGTGTGCTTTTGGGATGGGTTGTGCCCAGAGGACAAATCGTTCTCTGTGGGACTACTTTGGCCCATTTCTGATCTACCTGTGGTATTTATAGGCAAATGTTCTCATATTTCTATGCTCCACTTGTAAGCTCTCTTTAGCCAAAAGGTACTTTCACATATTGTAGGAAAACTTTCTTTTGCAAGAAGAAAAAAAAGATGTTGTCTACTCTACCACTCTCTGCTCTCCAGATTAATCTTAATACAAAAAAATATTGATCGGCTGCAAAAATTTATCTCAATTAAAAAAATACCGATCGGCTGAAAAAGTTGTCCATCTATTATGATCTAAAGTTGCCACATCTGTGCCCGGCTGAAACTCTGCCAAGCTCCACGGTGCCCCGCGGTGTGTTTTATAGCCAACTAACCCCTGCCCAACACCTGTTTGCTCATCCCAGCCACCTCAAGCTACTTAATCCCATTTAAAGAGACAGCATCTTAAATTATTCAATGCTCAAATAAAAACTTCTCTGGTATGCATGAGGAGGTCTATAGATAATCCACCAGCAGCCTGTGCATGTGCTTGGTTTTTTTCTCATTTGTTTGTTTATTATAAAACTCACTCATCATTGACATCATGTCAAAGTGAATGGTGCCATTGTGTGGCTGACATTTTTTATTTTTTTTCCTCCAGGTTTAATACTGTTGAGCAGATGCATCAGTCAATGGGGAGAAAATGCTGTTATTATTGATGAATTTCTACTCAATAGAACATTGTGGGCCAGAGGAAACACAACTTGTTCCTCAACTCCCACCTCTTTTGTTTTTTTTTTTTTTTTTTTTTTTTTTTTTTTCTCCTCTCTCCAACAAGCAGAGGAGAAATGACTACGAGGCGAATGCCATGATTATTTTCTTTTAAATAGAGAAGGAAGCCATGCCGCTGCTGTGTTAGCAGTTAGCCAGATGTGGTCACAGCCTTCTGAGCACGCCTTGAAAAGTAGATTAAGGACATTGGGTTAAGCAGGAGCAGAGGATTCGTTGGGATCGTCGCACTGACGGAGAAATTCATCACTAAATCTATCTGAGCAATTACGGATTTCAGCATCAAACTGACGACCAGTTTCCTGTTGCCTGTCTTCAGCCTCCCTCTCCCCTCTCCACACTCTCTGTTTGTTTACCATGCTCCCGACTGGGGAACAATGCAGCGACCTTTGCAGAAATAATTCTATTACGTAAGTTGAGTAATTGCTCTGGATGTGGAAGAGGAGTGTCCGCTGCTCTTCTTGCGTGGCCCTCAGCTCCTATGTCCTTGGATTTAAATGAATCTCTGCGGTATTCATAGAACCTGACAGGGAGAGGTCCGCTCAGAAAACAGAGAAGGGGGGGGGGGGGAGGAGAGGAAAGGAGAGGAGAGGAGAGGAGAGGAGAGGAGAGGAGAGGAGAATAAAAAGACAAAGAGAAAAAAGGAGGATAGATATGAGACGACAGGGAGATGGAGATGAGCATGACAAAAGCAGTGAGCCAGAACCAAGCAGGATGAGAATGCTATAAAAATAGTCCAACCCCTACCCCCTTTTTTTAAGCAGTACTGGGCATGACATGTACCTCCAGATTGTCCAAGTGGCTCTGAGAATGGCCTGTATGGTGCAAAGAGCCCTGCAAATTCTCTTTTTGTGTCTTGTTCCCATAAGTAAAGGTGTGCAGTCACAAAGTGCAGGCTGCAGGGGTACACAAGAATAAATGGAAGGAGTGTGGATAGTTCCTGCCTGCTGAGGTTCCTCTTTTTTTTTTTTTTTTCTCCTTCTCTGCCACCTAGAGCCCTGTTGGCTACAATGGGGGAGAAGCGGAGAGGCTCGACGCTAACAACTGGCGCAGATGAAACTGCGAGAGGCTTTACTGGCAGAAATGTTCACTTTACTTTGTTCAAGTTTCTTTATTTGGACGATGGGCACAGACGGAGTCAGAGAGTAAGACAATTACTGATATTTGCTGTGAGCCATCAGAGAGTGAGAGACCAAGAGAAACAGAGGGACAAGCTCCACTCCCACATTGTTAATTAGAATCTCTCTCTCTCTCTCTCTCTCTCTCTCTCAGCGCTACACACTCTCAATAAAACAGTCACAGAACACACACGCGAGCACAAGGCGAACACTGTGCTAACCAATTTCATCTTCATCAAGCTACCTCAATCGAACAATAAAATTGTCGGTAATATGATTGTATCGCTCTACACTGGGTTTTGCATTGTTTAGGAGAACACACAATATTCTCCCTGTGATCCATAAGTATAGAAATTGGACGGGCTGTGGGTTTGCAGGGGGGGGGGCAGATAAAGAGAGAGAGTACAAGAGGCAAAGCAGTGGAGGAAAATAACAGGAAAGCTGATTTCATGCTCAGGGGATTGCATCTCATTTTCTCCCAGCACGGAGCGACAGTGTGCGGTCCTGCTTGTGGATTTACTGCCACCTGGTGGTGTAAATCTGCACTGCTGCGCTTAGGGAACCGCACAGGGGCACAGGCTGCCATCAGAGTCAACAACAGATGATTTGGTCAATGCAAGAGGAGTAAACTCAACCCCTAATCTTGGGCAGACGGCGTCATGTTGACTCATGTGTGCACTCGCTGAAATGTAAACTCCAGTGAAGTTCCCAAACCAAACTGCTTGTTTGCTTGACTTTGCCTCTTTTATCCTTTTCAATTCCTCTTTATTATTTATTTTCCTGCTTCTAGCACAGGAAATGAAAAGAAATTGCTTGAACGAGTACCAAAAGAAAAAGAAAGTCAACTACAAAATTCCCATTAAGTGCAATACCGCTCAGTTAAGAATGCCATTATACGCTTGGACTGTCCAGTCAATATTAGTGAACATCTATCTACAAAACCAGCAACAGAAGAACTAAGACTTAAACCTGCAATGTCATGAAGATGTGAAATATGTTACTATCTAAGCTCTTGTGTTCCAAGAAGAAATATGTCTGTGTCAATATGAAATCAATGAAAGCTCACTTTAAGTCAACCCAGCCAGCACCAGGAGGTGAATTAATGAGGGCCTTTCATCACTAATTAACACATAAACACACAGCTCCCATCACCAAGTGGGAACAGGAGTCGATTACTCGCCCTGCATGGAGACGATTGCATCAGATAGATGATCTTTTGCAGAGGAAAAGAAAGAGGGGTGTTAGAAGGAAAAGCTAAAAAAAATAAATAAATAAAAAAATAAAGCGAGAGAGAGAGAAAAAGAAGAAAATCGAGAGATATGAAGTCATACACAGTGCTTGGGTCTAACATCAGAAAGGTCTGGATGATTAGGGGATGCCAGGACTCACAGAGAGCAGCTCTCCTAACAGCCTTCACCACCTCATTAGTCTGGCCCAGCAGCAGTATGCCCCCACTATTAACCGCTAAATGAAAGACCGCCAACCATGATTACTGAGGGGAAGTCCCTTGTCGTCATGGGGATGAGAGATCCCTATACACACGCATGCATGCAAGTACGCACGTACACGCGGACTCACACTTCTACTTCTACGATATCTATTTGAAGGGCGTTTATGAAAAGACGATTGAGGCAGAAGTGGATATTTTACACATCATCAGTCACGGCCGTTTACTCCGAAGCCCAAAATGTGAAAGCGCGGGACATCAAGCAAACCTGTTACGACAAATTGCCTGCATTGCAGTAAGGAAAAAAAAAAAAAAACACACTCTCAACAAATGCTGGCATCTCTCAGTTGCTTCATTTAAAGATCACATGAAGCTCTTAGCACCACTTTCATGCAGCAAATCCGACAAAGGCTTAATAGACACATGAGTGAAACAGCCTCGGAGTCCTTGAGTCAAGGATATGAGATTCTCTGTTGAAGCTGCATCCGTTAGGTTGTATGTAAATGTGTGGGAGTATGTATGTACTGCACACTATCAGAGTGATGTGCGTTCGTATGCACTCCTGTACACAGGATACGCTTATGTAATGTCAGCATCATACTGCAGTTGTGTGCACCTGGTGTTGACTGAATGCATATGTGTTAAAGGAGCCCTCAAACAACTTAGAATTGCACTTCCATAAAGGGGGTTTTTGCACCAGAGGCAAAGATATCCTGAATTTTTTTCTCAAGCATGGGCCAATGTACAAAAGCACAGGATCCTACACTTCCCATAATGCAACTTGACTTTTGTTAAATGCTTAACAATGCCCACAGTTTGCAACACTGGCTCTCTCCAGAGCCCCAGAAGACATTATACATCATTTTTCAAATGCCTTTTCAATCCACTTTGGCATGTAAGAATCAGTGGAGTGCTCCTTTAATGTACTCAAGTGCAGGTAAATCTTAAGCCAAGCAGTACTCACGGTCGTTGCAGTGAGTCCCCGTGTAAGACGTCATAGAGCAGTCACAAGTGAAGTTCTCCCACTGCTGGATACACACACCCATGTTGGCGCACGAGTCCTCCTGGCAAGTCGTGCTTGGGCCTGGAAAACGGCGGCAGGGAGAGAGAGAAAGAGAGAGGGATACAACAGGTGCACAGTCAAGCAGCAATAAGACCTACTGCTGAGCCTTAACAATGCAGGACCCATGCAGAAGAAGTGCACTCTAGAGAGGCAGATATACAGCATGTGGGCCTAGAAGAAAGAACAAGGAGCAAACAGTGCCACCACAGGAAGCCTGACCTGGAGTACAACACACTTAAAAACAGTCTGAGGAATCCTGTTTCATGCTGGGTAAAAGCATGGCACTAGCAAGGAGAGGCACCGACGAAGAGGTGCCAGGTTTTCACAGGATCAACAGCACGCTTCTCAAGCAGTGGGAGCATCAGCATAGACTCTGAATTAATTACAGAAAACCAGCTGTACAGGATGCTGGTTTACTTCTAATCTGCATTTAAGAGATGATGCTGCAGATGAATTAGATCCCAGCTTGGCTGGTGTGATGACACTGTCAACATCCCTTAATTTCCTTCTTTCTTAGAGTGTGTACAGGTGGATTTGCATGCAATTTTTATCATTCCAACATGTTTCCAAAAAAAGTTTTAGCAGAGTAAAACTTAGAATACTGCATTCCCTCTATGGACAAGCAAGACAACACATAAAAAAAATAACCTTTCAGCAAAGGACTCATGGATAAAAACTCCATTAAAGAATACCGATATTAAAAAATGGCATTGAAGTGACCCTGCTAGTAATTTTCCTTTCTAAACATCTCTTTCAGTGTGAAGACGGTGAACACTAGACACACTAGACAGACAGAATTCATGAAGAGCAGAGGAGAAAAGAAACGCACGCAAAGAGCGCTTGAGAACACGCAGTGCATATCCTTGCGTATGCACTTCAGGCAGACAGGAGTTGAGGAGGGTATTCAAAGTCAAACTGGATGTGTGTTTGCTATTCCTCTACACCACACATAGCTCTTAGTTTTGAATACTTTTACTGAGAGGGAATGCAGATAAGGACAAGAGCACAGCAGAGATAACAAGATAAACAATCCCCGTCGGAGTCTAGACAGACACGGGGGAGGGGGAATCTCGACAGAAACCCTTCCGATAACCACAGAGGAGACAAACGAAAGTAAGTGAAGTCAAATTAAATAAAAAGTCCAAAATAAATGGCAGACAAATGCAGGTAAACAGTGTTTAAGAGCAATTGTCTTGTGCAAGAAAATGTGAAGAGAAGAAGACACTTGAAGTTTGCCGGCTGAAAGTGCATTTACTGTGTAATGTACAGTGATGGTAGTCGACCAGGCATACCCCATCCCCCATAATGCGAGCATACATGTATTTCTATACATCGCATCAGTGTGAATCTCATGTCTGTATGCACACAGCGGTACTCGTTTCTTGGTGTGAGCGACGGAGGATTTCTCTGTGTTTGATTGTTGCAGCAGGAGGCCGCTCGCTCTCTGAAAAACACTCATCTGGGTAAAGTAGCATGATGGGTTTTTGAGTAAATAAAAAAAAAAAGAGAAAGAGAGAGAGAGAGAGAGACAGAGGCCTGATACATCAGCAGCACGCTGACAGTGTTTGGATGTGCAGTGACAGCCTCTTTCTTGTGTCTCAACTGGCATTTCCATAGAAGAACACGGTGCTCTCGTTGTCTGCCTCTGCTTTTAGACGATCTGCATGACTGCCACATATTCATTTGAACGTCACTTATCTGACCCCATCTGTTCACTCTCTTTAATTATACTGTGAACTCAAATTCTTTGCAACTTTATCAGGTATGTCCCTCCACCGAGCTTGGTGGTTAGCAGGGAACATGCTATAATTGCATTTATATGATCGATATATGTATAACACATGTACTGTGTGTCTCCATTCACACTGCAGCAGTGCTGTAGTATGAACCATAATAATCATACACAATTTTTTTCCCTCTGTTTGCTTAATCACTTGTGTTGCCTGCGAGTAGTCTCTCTCTCTCTCTCTTTTTCTCCTCTTATACATTTTTCTTTTCAGAGAACAAGCCACCTCTGCGGCACCAGGGGGACATTATTGCCATGGTGACACCCACGATGCATTGCACACAGCAGACTTTCAGGCGAGCAGGCCTCCGAGAGGCGGAGTTTAACCCTCTACCTTGCAGGTCGGCTTTGGTGAAACCAACTTTGTTAGCGCAGAAAGAAAATAACAAACAGAACAGAGCAGAGCGGAAACAAGAGTAAAGGTTAGTGAGGGACCAGCATTGTTAGAGTTCTTAAAACTTGCACAAGTTTCACTTTGGCAGAGTGCAACGTGGGCTTTTGACCTGTTAGTGGGTTCAGCTGCTGTGTAAGCTCCTATATAGTGGTGTCTTTTTCATAATAAGTGTGTTTGGCATTAAATATCACAGGTCCATCCTCATAAAGGCTGCTGTGTGAGTTTGAACTTATCTCAATCTTCTGCTGCCCTCTAGAGGAAATATGTTGAGGCCTACACCATACACAAGGGATATCATTTTACTTTTTTTTTTTTTTTTTTTTTTAAAACACAATTACGTTTTAAATGGGAAATAGAAATAATCTATAAAGCACAAAATTGCTCCAAATAGTCTTGGCACGTGAGCATAGCAGAGTAGCTAATATGGATGGAAACAACCTCAAGTCGAATCTGACTATAACAACAAACACATCAGCAGCTTATTTTTTATTCTGTTTTAGCAACACACTATTTTGCCTGAGGATGGTAATTTCAGGGGCTGGAGAGGCTGGAGGGGTGAAGGGGAAGTCATGATGGTGGTTAAACATAACTGTCATTAAGGGGGTTAATTAAAAATATCTTGCTGTGTAAAATTATCTGCAATTTAGAAAGATTTAATAAGACCTGAACAGATTTGTTTTTACTTGCAATGCTTTTGTTATTTGGGTTTTAATGCTTCCAGTTATCCTAAAATAAAGTGATGCAACATAAAAAGCCATTATTAAAGAAACTGAATGACAATTTTTACCCTGTAATGTGACAAATACCTGGCAAAGAAAAAAGAAAATAAGTAGGATTAACAATGCCAGCGAATGGCTTTAAGGGCTACTGAAGAGCCGTCTAATTAGACTAATAAATCTCACACGGCAGGTCATGATTCTTAGACGCTACGGGCCATCTGTACCTTCACAGCCGCGCTCAATCTGCCCGCTGCGGAAAAGGGCATCATTGATGAGGTCTGGCAGGCGGCCATTGAGATCAACTGAGGCCAAGCAGCCCTGGAAGCCTTCCCGAGAAACCACCAGCTTAGGGAGGTTCTGGTACATGTTGGGTCCCAGACCTCCGATGAACAGGTCACCTGAAGGGAGAGAGCGGGGGGGGATAGAATAGGATAGAATGAAATTATAGATACATTTAGTAACTCAGAGCAGATACACATACTGTGATCTTGTATCCCATTACATGATAAACAACATAACACCATAGCAGTGAGCTCATGACAACAAGCCACTGGTGGTGGTGAAATTATGCTTGGTTTACTTGTATGAGTATTCCAAGTTGGATTCGGCAAACTCCAAACAAATCGCTCATTTCAACCCTGAAGAATATCACCTGTTCACGGTGTGATTTGATCAACAGCACTATCTATGGCACTAAATCACCACACACTGTAAGCCTTCCCGTTGCAATCAATTTGTGGGTGCGTTTCATTCCTAAAAATGTCACTTAAGACTAAAAAGAAGAAGTTCACGCTGCAGACCTGCTGTTAGAAATCAGCAGACAAAAATATAACAACGTTAGCAGTGTTAGAAGAGGCACTAGGGGACTCGAAACAATTGTATTTGCATTTTGATTGCATTGTTCCAGATCTCTGACCTCATGTAAAACTCGAATGTGGATGTTTAATTAAAATGTTTGAGAACCTCTGACATAAAGTGTATCAGCAGAGAGGAAAAATTAAAAGCTGATTCACTCCAACGCTATTTTTTTTTTAAACATAATTTCTCATCTTTGGAGAGGATGTGAAGTCATTTCAAGTCAAAACGCTAAAATTCGGTGTTAAAGTCGAGCTGTAAAGTCTTTTTGATTTTGTCAAGTCAAGTCTGGAGATTTCCGATTTTTTTCAGACTATACTTCTGGGGATGAGGGGATGCTTTTGGGGTTGCATGATATTCTTTGGACTTCATTATGAATATGAATATGATAACTTGAATTTCTCCGAAAGCGAGGACGGGGTACCTTTAAGGTCGAGGTTCTTGGCTCCATTGACATTCTGGGTAACTGACTTTGAGTCCACCTTGAGGGTGTGTGTGTTGGAAACATCCCGTGTGATAACCACATTGTGCCACTGGTTATCATTCAGTGGGTTGTCACTGTTCCCCTTCAACAGACTTGGCCCATTCCCCAGGTCGAATACATAGTGGATAAACCTGGGGAAGAGAAGAGGCAGGAGATGAACAGATCAGGGTTTTATTAGTGTGTGTTTTTGTGTGTGTGTCTGTGTGTGCTGTATGTCTATTTTTATCTTCCCAGATTGATTGATTATAGTAGAAAAACTCTCAAAATCAATAATGACAGTTAAACTGATAACAATCTTCACTGCAACACAATGATTTCTATGTTTTTACAAGCTCACAAAAGAGATCGTTGGTCGGCAATGTTAAATTAATCATGTCTCAAGGAACCAACAACCTGCACTGATATATTAACTGTAATAACAGTCACTGTCCCCCTCACCCTTTGACCAGTTCGACAGCGATAAAGTCATTCCCGTCTCCGCTGTTGAAGATGATGAAGCCATCGGGCGAGGTGGTTTTGAACTGAAAGAAGAGGTGCATTGTGGTATAGGCCTGCAGGGTGGCCAAGCCGAGGTAACTGCCCTTGGTCTTGAAGGTGACGGGGTCGGCGATGATGAAGCGCATCCCGAAACGGGCGTTGAGCTCGCAGAAGTCGATGTCTCCGTTCTTGCACATGTCGATGTACTGCATGCCGTTGAACTTCAGGCTCTGTGGAGAGAATGATTGAGAGATGGTGTTAGAAATGAACTGTGAAGCTTCTTTAATTTCACTGGACCCAGATTTCCATGGTAACATAATATGCAAAGTTATAATTTTGTGTTTTAGTCGCACCCAATCAAAAGGAAACAATGACCTGATCTTTGACTTTTGTGATAAATAATGACAACAAAGAAACCCTCCTCTTCAGGACACGAGTTTATCAGTGAGCAATATTTGCTACAATTATGCATCTGTTGCATCACGATCATACTGCACTTCATACCTGAAGATGCCCGATGAAGGATGAGGGAGCAGAAGAGACAAAGCGCCTCTCTGTCAAGATGCCCGTCTCCACGTTGTTGAACTCCAGACGGGTGTGGTCGCCCGCCATCTGGCCTGCGATGCAAGAGGGAAGAGAAAGGAGAAGAGGCCAAGGGATGAGGGGGGTTGAAGAGGAGGAAGGATAAGACAACCTGAACTTGACAAAACATTAGTTTCACTATGTGTCATACTCATGCAATAACCCCACCCCAAAGCTTATACTAAGCAAAACTGACATACAAAGAGAGATTTGATTTTCAAATGGTGAAATCACAGAACAGTAAATTGTTATTTCTATTCCATTAATTATGACGAGGCAGTCAGTGCTGTCAATTTCCAATATTGTAGATTATTTATGTTAGAATTAATCAGTATTACACATTCATTCGTTGCACACTTATTTTAAATAAGAAGCTTAACATGAAGAAATTGTCTCGCACAAGTATCCTCTGATTTTTATGTGACGGTTTTACAATCTCACGGTCAAAATTCTGTTTTACGTTCTTTTCCTCTGAAACATGAATCACATGAATCATCATTGGTATCTCGCTTATGAAATCTAGTTTGGCTGAACCCTAAAAAGGCATCGTATGACAATAAATAAAGATATCAGAACCATCTTCATTGCTGAAAAAAGAAAGATTTAAAAAAAAAAAAGAAATAAACATGTATGCCATGGATATTGTAAAACAACAGGTTAACGGTTCTCAAGTGAAATACCTTCAGCCATGTCGTCATCCACAGTGAGTTTGAAGTTTTTACCGCGGCGGAGCACTCGTACCGAGTGCCACTCATTGTCGTTGAGCTTTTGTCCAGCATAAAGAACCTCAGGGCCCTTGCCTGAAGAGGAGGGTTAGTTAGTGAAGGGATGGGGGAAGCACAAGCACAAACCAACTCTTTGTTTTCAGGCAATAGACTGGAAGAATTTAAGAAGAAACTCTTAAACAATATTTGATGTAAAAAAATAAAAAAATAAAAAAAAAATGTCTCAGATCAAAATAAGATTTTATTGTGATATTTCTCATATGGAGATAATATGATCACTTGCCAAACAAAAATTTGGTTTGGATCAGACAACAGAGGAAAACAATACAAATCACAACTGAGGGAAAAATAAAAGAAAACATTTGCTGTTACTCATACAAGGACTCAAAATCTGTGACTACACCCTGTGGCTGTCTCTCTCTCTCTCTATCTCGCTAATATCCCATTGGCTGATAGATTTGAATGATCCCTCCGAGTTATACCCTGACCTCATTCAGACTTAATTAATTCCACTTTAATTACAGCAGATAGATTTCCTAAAACACAGTTTTACTGCAGCTTTTAATACAGTAGGGAGAGCCTGTAGACCTTTTGTGAAGTAATTCAAGTAACCAACCACTAGAGGGCAATCCAGCCACACTGTGTTCACGTTTAAGGCCAGAGCAGCTAATTCAATTCAGAGTCCTGAAGCTGCTGAATAATTATTGAACCCAGGTTTTAAATCCAGAGAAGCAGTGTTGGTTAGTCACTTAGTGATTTCTTGTCCTGATTTAGGATTTTAATTTGGTGATTAAACTTATGTTGTCCATTACTGGACCAGCTCAGTAGATGTATGTGAAGAAAGCAGTATGAAGTCTCAGTGTTTGCTTTCCCCTGTGCTAGAAAACAACATTTCAAATCTTTTTTGCCGCACAGTGACTTCTATCCAGGCCACTGTGTAATGGAGGGATCAACAATATGTCTAAATTATTATTAAGTGCAAAATTGACTTAGCTTGATTGATTAACATTTACTGAAGAATTAGTTTTCAATGTTAAATATTATGCAAACCTTTAGAATTTTAACTTTGCAGCATGTCTGTGTGTGTCTGTGTATATGCATGTGCATTGATCATTACTTAATGACAGTGATCAGCATAAGCAATATGAACGGGCATCTACAATTTGCCACCTCGGTAAAGAAATTCAGATAGGACGACCTGAAACCCGTCTTCATTTTCCACTCTCTACAAGACTGTGAATAATAAGAGTCCTCTTCATGAGTAAGAGCATGTCTGCTAACACCTTCTGTTTATCATATTAGGGGCCTATATACTGCAGTACTAGGTAAAATAAGGAAGGCAAGACAACAAAGCAAGTGAAACACACAGCAATATATTACAGTATAATTGGGAAAACAATATAGCCCATAGAGAAAGTGCAAATGTTCAGCGAGTAGCTATAGGCACACAGGGGAAGATTAAGAACTAGTTGCCTGAATTAATTTGAAAAATGGGCCATTTTAAAATATATAGAGTACATTAAGTCTGATTTGCATAACTTTGATCTCTGGCTATGACTTTTCCCCCTCTTATCTGAGAAATCCTCTTATCAGTCCACTGCATTCACACATTCCTGCCCTTATATCTAGCACACAGGCTATAATCAAACATTGATTGAAGGAAGAAGGCTGCAGAAGAAGAATGTTGACTTACTGGTGTTACAGTTTATCCTGACACAGTCTAGATGGGGAGGGGAGAATAAGTGACAGATGAAATCGCATCCTTCAAGGTTATGGCTGCAGACATCCAAGAGTAAGAAAAGCCACCTTCCGGGGACGGTCACATGACGCCGGCAGCCATTTTAGCCTAGTCGGCTACTGATGGTCAATGTTACTATACTGATAGTGGAATCCCAGTTTAATCCCAATCCAATTCTTTTTAAATAGCATTGTGCCAATACTGTTCAATGTTACTGATTAAACTAAACTGTTTTCTTTGGTTTCATTTGATCAAACTTACATGCCATTAGAGGTCTGATTGTCATTTTCCAAAAAGTCATAATGGAGTTTCGGCTACACGTTGAATTGTTCAATTTCAAAATGTTCGCTTGCAATTCAATGGCCACATCGATTTTGCAACCCAGCAAAATTGAGCTAAAATACTGTACTAGCAGCCCACTGCATAATGTGAAATTAAGCCGGTTTAGATCACATGTCAATAAAACTGGGGCTCTTTATTAAAATCTCCATCCAAGGGAGAGCACTGAACCTGTGTTCAGCAGGTGCAGGTTGAAATCCATGTGACCAGGCTGGTCATGTGCCGTCAACCGCAACAGAAAAGTGGGAGCAAACAGCCTCGAGCCACGCAGCACCAACACCGTACAGAGGCCTAAAGACCCCCTCTCTCAGAGGATCCTATGGACGTTATGGAAAATAGGTATCTATGAATTAAACAGATTAGGTTAGAATTTGAAATGTAATTAGATTTTAAAGGTAAACAGTTTAGAAAAAGACCACATTACACATTAAAAACATGAAATATGAACTGCATATGGTCCATGTTTTTAGCAGCTGTGGTAACCAAGTATAATGGATTCTATCATGAATGAATTACATTCAGGTGTCTTGTATGTATACATAGGCTTTATTTCAAGATTTTCTATTCGAGGCTCACTGGTATAAAGGCCTGCACTCTACTTAAATGTACCACTCATGCCACCATCTGCAGGCACGCTGGGTGCTGTGGCATCGGGCTGTTTGCCAGATGGGCCGCAGGCTCGGGGCCTTTGAAGGGGTGAGTGCCATCTTTGAACAAGGCATGGGAGATGCCAGCTAGACCAAGGGTTACTAATGGAAAGAGAGAAACATGAACCTGCTACCATGAGGAAAACAATAGAAAAAAAAAAAAAAAGACCACAGGAACGAGAATGCATACAATCAGTGCAGCACTAAAATGTACAGATGCTTACCTGCAGTACTGAATAGATGGCAGAATAGAATCTAAAATGTTGCTATCTGAATTAATGCATGTCTGAGGACAGCGCCATCTATTAAAGTAATTTAAAAAGCAAAATGTGGTTCCCTTGTAAAAAAAACTATTTGTCTACAATAATGAGCATGACTAAAATGATCTATGATCTGTTCAAAAGATGTGCTGCAGAGCATGGATAACTTTGTTAAGTGTTAGATTGATGGATAGAAAAATCTACAACGACAACTCAGCATCAAGGCAGAAAAAGTTACAATTCAGGCAAAAACAGTACATGCAACTACAAAGACAAACTAGAAAAACTGGTTTTAGTACGTGTTAGGTCTGATAGCAAGTCTGGACCATAAAGAAAATATACAAAAGAATGAAAACACAAAAACAGTAAGGCCTCCTCTTGAACTCGCGGGGAGGGGAACCAACAGGGCGGTTTATACGATACCTAGGTTGACAGTCAGTTTGACCCTCCCGCTGTCCAGCTCAAGGCGCAACGTGTCCGCCGACTCGCGGGACGTGGCGGCCATGAGCAGGCCGAACGCCCTCTGGGACATGAAGCGGAGGGAGACGTCCTCGGCCTCGGTGTGCATCACGTTCGGAATCACAACCTTCATGTACATGCTGCCATCGTACGACAGGATCGAAGACTCTGTGAGAGGAAGAGACAAAGGTGTTTAAAAATTGATGGTGGTTTAAGCCCAAATACCTTTGATGTATGTGGTAACAGCAAGGAGAGGTTGTGTCCATTTCTCTGTGTGTGTGTGTGTGTGTGTGTGTGTGTGTGTGTGTGTAAGTGTAAGTGTAAAAACAACAGATACCATCATAACAGCATAAAATACAGCAATATATTTCATACACTTCACCTCCTTCTGACAGCTTTGTTTATGCTACCAAAGCTTCCGATAAGATAAAAGAGAATGCGTGCTATGAAAGCAAACACGCACACACACACACACACATACACATGCTTGGTGAAGAAAAGTGAACCTAATTTAAAGTTGGAACCTGCTTGCATGTGTGTCCCTTTTTATCAATGGGAAACACACACAGACACACACGAACGCACACCACAAACACACACACATACACTCACACACACACACACAGACACACACACACACATGTCCCACATGCCCAGTTGCAGCTGTATTCATCATCCATCGAGTGACAGGTGAGTGTCTGGGAGCTCAGGCTGCTGAAGGCTGCACACACGCTGCTCATTGTGCAGAAAATTAAATCATCATGCTACTTCCTCCTCTCCCTGGCAACTCCCCTCTATAGCTGTTGGTTGGTGTCTTTGACTTTAATTGTGAAATCTCGAAATGTAAAGTCAGTGTGGAACATGCAAGTACTAAGACCATACAAAAAATTGTCTTTACACCGTCCTGTCTCGTAGTTAAACTGAGATAATAAGAATAAATAGATCATGAAGGTTTGAAAGCTGCTGGGCTGGACCGGATTTGTGTTCCCTTCTTATGAGTTGGAGAGGGAGGGGAGAGAGCCAGAGCGAGTGTGGCAAAGAAAGAGGAGGTCTGTCAGCAGACTGGAAGCTTCTTGGGGAGAGAGAGACAGATTAAAAAGGGTATCCAACCATGAAATACCTGTTTTGACACCTCAGCTTTTTAAAGAAAAAATAGCCCTGTGGCCTCTGAAATGCACCACCATTTGGCTGCATCCAGGGAACTGCTGAGGCTGTAGGTGAACATCACACGAGAGAGGGGTTGTACCTGTAAGCAATGCAATGTCACATGTCACATGCTGCATGCTATTTCTTTTTTTTTTTTACACGGGGTCTACTGAATAAAGTGCCACTTTCAGGTTGATGTGTAGAGAAAAATGTTTACTCATGCAAACGGTAATGCATTATAAGTACTATTGGATTTTGCTTCACTTAAATGTCAAAATTCATGCGATATGTTGCAAAATTCATGTATAAGCAGAGGGAAATCACTAAACCATTCATCTCAGCAAGAAGTGCTCTGCTATAAAAATCCAACATTTGTCTGTGTTGCTTTTAGGGCTGTTGTAAAATCCATTCTATGAACAAGCTGTCGACTGTGTGGGTAAAGTAGCCTGGAGGATAATGAAACCTTGGCTCACCATTGTTCTACTCAATTTTAAATTGCACAGGCTCCCTCCCTCTCCGTGTCTCCTTTGCTCTCTCTCTCTCTCTCTCACACACACACACACAGACACACACATAAAAAAAAAAAAAAAAAGACTCAAATATCCACACATACATGCATCCCAGCCGGTTCACAGACTGATCTCCTAACTGACAGAGGCATATATTGATTTGTGAGCCAGGTCAGGTCCCAGGCTCACACTAGAAGAAAAAAAAAAAAAAAAAACCTGGTGAGAGTCAATCTGCAGCTCAGAAAACTCAAAGAGACAAGGAAGGACGTGAAAAGCACCATATAAAACAAACTGTGATGTCCACTCTGGAGTTTTAGAACACTTGGCACAAACCCCTAGGTAAACTATTTCTGAGAATTGTGGCTACGAGAATTTGACACTGGAGCTCTATTGAAACATTCTTGGAAGTGGATGTGTCATTTCTTAAAGAATAAAATAGTTTACTAGCTTTGAAATACATTACTTTATAGAAGTCGCAAGGTCTAAAACAGACCTTTGTTGGAATTCACTGACATTTCTAATATCTTTATTGACACACAGGTTAGAATGATAAACCACTGGGATCTGACAGGTGAGAGAAATACACTATAGTGTAACAATACATGGAAATAAGATAAATATACAGCCACATTTAATGGCTAATGGCTGTAAATGCTATCTTTTGAATTCTAACATGCTCACAATGACCAAGCTATCACGCTGACGTTTACCGGATATAATGTTTACCAAGTTCAAAACTTGCTAATTAGCGCTAAGTACAGCTGAAGCTGATGTAATGTCATTAAATTTTCAAGTATTTAATCAAGAACCATGGAATATTGAAAATGCCTAAATAAAAACACATCAAATAAAAAGGGAGTGATTTGCCATTTTAAATTGTTTTTAACTATTTATGGTTGCAAAATACCCCCAAGAATCAGTTAAAAAAATCTTCCTACCACATAAACAATGTGCTGTAGTGTTCCACAGTCAACGCTGTGCTGTGGCTTTTTAAGTAAGCCACAACATAATAGCAGTCAATTTTAGAAGTCTGCTGGTGCACAGCATCCTTTTTGGGGCAAAGTAGTCCCCATCATGTCTGACTGTCATCGATTATTCTCAGCAGGGATCAGCTGTGTTGTATTCAAATAGCTTTTTATTGTCTTAGAAAGGAGTGGGGATGTTTTTGGTTGACTGCAGTTCGGTGTATTTTATTCCCACTGCATGACTCGAAGCTTTGAGTGGTAGAAAAACCAAAAGAAGGAAAAGGCTGAATTTATTTTGAAGACATACACCCACTTTATTTAGGACCCCTGAAGGTAGGTTGAAGATGTTTGAGGTGAGTTTAATCTCTATAAATTTCCACTCCTAACTGACAAGGAGTGATTGACAGGACAGAATCAGTTCTCTGCCTCATACAATACTTACTTAATAAACAATAATAAAATACTAATAACAAACAATAAGACAACAAAAAAAAGACAAGCAGACACAAGGCAATAAGTAAAAGATGTTGAGATGTCATCTCCCTAGTTTTTGGCCACCAAAATGTTAATTTATTGGTAGTGATTACTGAATCAAAAAAAAAAAAAAATCTGCAGAAAGATACTGACTCAAGGATCTCAGTCAGTGTAAAGAAGACACAAACACACCAGCTGTAGCTGTGTTGGTCATTGACTCTTAACTCCACTCAGCAGTGTCCTCCTTTTCTAGGTTCATACTGGTGGGCCTGCCGACAGCCCTGCAGTGCTGAGCACACCTTCCTGTTCTCACAACATCAAATTCTAAGTGACACACTGCCATGATTTGCAATAAACAACTTGTCTTGGACATATTGAACCTACTCTACCAGATGTTGGTTTTTTTTTAAAAGTGTGAAACGCTTTAAAGGAAGGTTCAGCTCATTACAACTTGGATCTTTTTTGGTAGTTTTTGGCCATTTCTATCATGATAGTAGATAGTGGGGCAAGGAGCATAGGCAGTCAGATGATCAGAGAGGCTGTCAACAAGCAAAATTACGTAAATTACCTTATTTGGAGGTAAACCGAAGGTGAGTGCACATAGAATGTTGATAATAAACGCCTGTTGGACAGAAAAACTTCCAGCTATGGCAACTGTAGCTGAACCACACAGGTTAGCTTGGCTTAACAAAGGCAGAAAACAGGAGGTTCGAAATCCAGAGTGTAACAAAATGACCATTTGTGGTTTTACAAGGTAATGTGCAAGTCATAAACTGCGCAGGTTGCCTGGCAACATAAAAGTAATAAGACATAAGGAAGTCAGTGTTCCTGGCCAAGGAATAGTCCCAAACATAACCCTAAACCACACATTGTCATTTTTACACTTTGATTTTTGTGTTTTGATACCTTGGGACAGACAGCAAGCAAACTATCTGTTTCCAGTCTTTATGCTATGCTTAGCTAACTAGCTACCTGCTAAGCTTCATATTTAACAGAGTGATTTTCTCATTAAACTAAGAGGCACAGAGGCTTATTTCCCAAAATGTCAAACTATTTCTTTGAACCCTCTTAGATAGTCTGACCGCTCCTATCCTTTGCCCCAGTAGACTTCGCTTTGCACTCTTGCTGATTTCAGTAATTAACTTGGTAAGTATAATGTAATTATACCAATAGGAATGATGGCAAAAAACATGAAACCTAAATTTCCCTTTAAGCTAGTCAGGTATCACAGTATCTCAGACCAAGTTATAGTATCATGCAAAGCATCCTATAGCAATGTCAGAGCTGTAAGAAGTGGAAGCAGCTGAGCTGCTGAACCAAACAACACTTTACATTTGCAGAGAATTAAACATCAATCTCTGCAAAAAGTGAAGCCGGCTGCTGTGATTATAGTCATTCATACCCAATGCAAAGCTAATAACGGGTCTCAGCAAGATACAGCAGGTGATTGCACTCCATGTAACCACAGTGTGTGTTTAGTGTGTGTTCGTTTAGAGTTGTTTCATTGGACAACACAACTTCTATGAAACCTTACACACATACAAAACGCAGTGGCACAGTTGTAGCTTCAGTATGTGCTGCTCTGTAACTTGGTATTTCTTAAGAGAGATATCAGCAGCAATGAGGATGTCATTTCAGATGGTAATTAAGCTGCTACTTGTCAGTCTGTGCGTGTGAGAGCATGTGTGGATGCGTGTGTTTTCCAGCAAGCCACACACTTTACATAATTAGCAGTCCAATTGAAGCAGAAGATGGAGGAGGAGGAGAAAAGCTATTAAGTGAGAAGCTTCACAAATATTCAGGGTATAGAGGGGGGAGTGCACTAGTCAAATCTCTTCAGCACAGACACACACACACACACACACACACACACACACACACACACATACTATAGTCCTGTTCAAACTCTGAAATCTGTTTTCTTTCTCTCCATTTTTTCTCTCTGTGTTCCCATTGTTTACTTGCCTTGGCTGTAACTGTGTAGGATTATCTAATCTTTTTTTTTTTCCTTACCAGAGTGACAAGTCTTTGTTTTAAATAAACAAACCAACAAGGGCCTTGACTGTCATTGTGG